AAGGTGACATTATTCCTCTCCTCAAGTACTTCTGTTAATATTGAAAAACGTGTGCTCGCATCTCAAGCGGCCGCGCTTCTACTCCGCCGCCATTTCAATATTAATGAAATTGTTTAATCTCCTAAATTCGTCGTGTTTAAGTTACGTTTTGGTGAGTTATTGACCAGCAATGAAAATGTGGTTAATGGCGTGTGGATGTATGTGTGTGTGTGTGAGGGAGAGCAAGAAAGAGAGCGTGTGTGCGAGAGGAAAGGACAGAAAAAGTTTAAAATAGACTCTCCATCTTTGGTGACCAAATTCTTTCTTTCTTTCCTTCTTTCTTCCCGGAGAGAACAGTCCACTTCTGACAAGTTCACTGCACAGCAAGCCAAAATTCCATGGTGCTTGTTGTTGTTTTTCAGTCGCAAAGTCGTGCCCGACCTGTCACAGCCCCATGGGCAACATTCCCCCAGGTTCTCCTGTCCTCCACCATCCCTTGGAGTCCACCCAAGCCCACACCCACTGCCCCAGTGACTCCATCCAGCCCCCTCATCCTCTGCCGTCCCCTTCTCCTTTTGCCTTCAATCCTTCACGGCACCAGGCTCTTCTCCAGGGAGTCCTTCCTTCTCATTAGGTGGCCGAAGCATTTGAGCTTCAGCTTCAGGATCTGGCCTTCTAAAGGGCAGTCCGGGTTGATTTCCTTGAAGACTGAATGATTTGCTCTCTTTGCAGTTCAAGGGACTCTCAGTGCTTACTCCCAGGTGTAGCTGAAATGCAGAGGTGAAGAAACAAGTCCACACAACCACCTCGCAAATTCATAGTCCCTGGTGGCTTACATGCATTACATGTTCCTTTTGAAGCATCTATGGGATTCTGCTCTAGATGTCCTTGCGTTATTTGAGCTGGTGAGTGCTGGGGTATCACAAGGCAAGGAGTTCCACAGGAGCATGGTGGAGAAGTTAGAAAGGGATGGGGGGGGGGGTGATCTTCGTGTGTCCAGACATGCTGGGGCACGCTGAGAGTTTTGAGATATGCACGCATATTTCGAACTGTGTCCTAAGTCATCTTAAGCTTTTGCTGCCTAACACTTGCTGTTTTTTGATCCGCTTTTGCAATATCTACAACTAAGAAAACAAAAACCATCGCTCCGGCTGCATAAATTTGTTACTCATTCCGTGGTCTCAGACTCTGGGCATGTTTTTCCCCCAGAGTGAAAAGGAACCTTACTGGTGACCTGAATTATTTAGGGCCCAAACGGTGGCCTACCTCGCAGGGTTCTTTTAGGGAGAAACTAGACATTGTTCCAGACTTTCTTTGAACAGTATAAAACGCCTGTGCTCATAAGGATTCCTAGCAAACATGTGAGAGTCCAGGCAAGGGTGTCAGCTTTGCCCCCTTTCCATTTTTATTATGATTTTCCTAATATAAACTCAGTTTTAAAGGAACTTGTATTGCACTCTGCTGGATTCGTTGTTCAGCTAGGCAGCTGAACTTGGGCCAGGAAGCATGGCAGACATTTATGGGGAAAAAGGTCGTATTTGGCTCCTAAATGTGGGCAGATGTGTTCTGAGGTTTGTTGCTGGAGATCTCTGCCTTCGCCATCCCGGCTTTTCCTAATGCCTCAAGTAGGGTAGAGCTAATAATTCCTTCCAAAAATATTCCAGAGTCACCTGCGAAGTTCACTCTGCCGCACTCATTTTAAGCACATCCCTCACCCCACGCAGTGAGCTGCCAGCCTGTGCCACGTCCTTGCACTAGCCCGCAAAGGACTGACACGGGCTTGCAGCAGCGGCTCACAGAAAACCTTTGGATTCCATGACCCTGTTGAGTTTCCCTCACAAGAAAGCGCAAGTGAGAGAAGCTGAGTGAGGCCGTGAGAACTGCCACCTGGTTAAGGCAAAGTGGTCGTACCAGGATGCTGTTTCACACATGCTTAGCTATAAACCCGGGTTCGCCCTTGAGCATCCAATAGAAAGCCACGGCCAGTCCCAGCTCCCTGATCAGTGTACCTATATCACACGTGCACAGGCACTCCAATTTAGGCGTGTACAATGTTAACGCGTAATGTATGGAAAACCTCTCGCCCTCACCATAAGTGGTGCTTATTTCCCTAAAAACCATTTTCCTGGTTACTGCTCGCAACGTGTTTACGACCCTGTGAAGATCGCGTGAAGTCTAGCCATGTCTGCGCAGCTTGCTAATAGATCGCGCGGTGAAGGCAAGATCCTGGCTGTAAGCAATCCGGGCGGCTGGAAGTTGCTCATTGTGTGTGTAACGAACTGCGGCTGTCGTACTTCGGGCACCTTCTCGGAAGGTGAGCCTCGCTGAAGGAGCCGGCTTGGAAGGCGCAAGACGGGGGCAGGAGACCCGCTGGGAGGCGGGCGGGTCGCGTCTCGGGCGGGGAGCCGCAGCCTTCCGCGGCCGAAGCCGAGCGGGCTGTCCAGGACTGGACTTTCCGGAGGGCGCTCATCCCTAGGACTGTCCTAAGCTGGAGACGGCCTGGCAGCACGAAACAGCAAGGACCTGAACACCGGGGCTGAAATGGCTTTCACTCTGGCCAAGAGTCTTTCGAACAGACAGAGCAGGCACGGAAGAAAGATCGGCTGGTTCAGACGTTACGTTTCGTCGGCCCTAAGAGCCTTATTCGCGCAAGGGTGGCACGACCTCGCCGCTTTTGCACCGGGACACCCGCGCCAACTTGAACGCCATGGGAGAGTTTTGGGGCATCTCCAGTCTTCTCCTCGGCATTTCGGGATGTTTTTATGAGGGCTACGCTCGTTTCGTTTGCGACATCACCTGGCATTTACGTGTTGCCGAGGATCGCCTATTCCCCCCCCCCCCCCAATTCCTCTCCAGAGGGCAAATTGCAGGAAAAAATGAAGACCTGCGAGAAAAGCGGTGCCGCTTTGGAAAGTGGCGGGCAAGCCGAGCGAGCGGAGCCCCCCCCCCCCCCACCTTGCAGGGAGAAAGCGGGTCTTTCTCAGCGAGGGGCTCCGCAGTCAACAGCAACGAGGTGCCTCTGACCCCACCCCACCCGAAAACGTCATAAAACAAAGCGCGGGTGCGATCCAGTCCCGGAAAAGGGGGAAACGCGCCGCGCTTTCAGTGGCGCACGATGCGTCGAAACGCGCTCCTCCCTGGCCGCAGATAAACTCGAGCGGGGCCGTCCCTCAGACAAACAAACAAACAAACAACCCAACCCGCGCTTAGATAAACAACCATCCCACCAAATCCGGATTTCTGCTCTCAGAGAGACGAAGCCCTGGACTGGAACCGGCTTTTCAAAACACAGGCGCGCGCAGACGGCTCGGCGCAGCCAGCTCTGGCAAGCGCGCTTCTCACTTTTGAGAAGGAGTCCTTGGAAACGCGGGGACTGGGAATGGGCAGGTCCTGGCGGGGAGAGAAAGCCGCTCCAGCTGGGGGTGAGGCGCGGGTGGGGGGAGAAAA